AAACTTGGAAACCAGAACCTCGCCACGGCATGAAAAGAGGATATCCTCTGATCCTGTAGAAACAAGTCAGCCAGCCATCGAGCTGTATTTCGGCGTTTCAAGTACTCACCGCTGATGCCTGCACCGTTACGGACCATCTCGCCAGGCCCACCTTTGTTGCCCACCCCGATATAATCACCAAGAAATCTGCGAGAACCGAGAAGACTCATCCGACGACGCTCCTTACGCCCGTTGAGAAGCTGATGTCCCTGATCGCGCAGCTTAATGAACTCGAGACCGCCAGTTGTGCGACGCCAGAAGCGCTGAATGCGAATAGCACACTCAGTACGATAGCGGAGATAATTTCGCCACGCACGCTGGATTCGGATGGCCATGTTGTGCCAGTAACGGTCACGCATGGCTTCCAAAGCAAACAACGTCTCTGGAGTCTTGACGAAGACCTTTGTGATTCCCATCTGGTACTCTTCGGCGGGTATGCTGGTATCCTTCAGAATCTGACGAGCGCCAGATTCGGCGTCCCCTGTCCATGTGTAATCACCCGCATAAGACGTCTTTGGCGACAAAAGGTAGAAACGCTCCACGAACTTGTCGAATGTTTGACGGTACGCGAAACCAGCACGTCTGATTCGAACGTTCTCCTGCAAACCAAGGTATTTGATCTGATGCAGAACGTTTCCGACGTTGTACTCCTTAGGCGCCTTGTTATCGTTCGGCTTGATTGTCCGAATATACGAGGGCTGGGCCTTCATCAAAGTTGCCACCAGGTCGTTGGCCGAGGCCTTGATCTTGTCGCTGGCGGTGGGTGGACGTCTCTTGTCATCCTGATTGACTTGCTCGGGGAAGAGCGTATGGACGAATTGGTTGCCGCTTGTTCCGACAAGGTTCAGAAGATCCTTTAGCAACTGGTCCTTGTTCTTGTCTGTCATTCCGGCAACGGCGTAGCTGACATCACCCGCGTAATGCTTGACAATGAACTGACCTTGGCGGTTCTCAAAGTTGGGATTTTGAGACAAGAAGTTGAGTCTTCCGACGAAGGTGTTATCCGCAGCGCTGGAATCGGCGTGCGCTGTTGCACAGGCATCGTTTAGGGCGGCAAATACACCAGGCGGGCGCTTGTCTTCGATCAACGAGCACACGACCTTGTTGTCGAAGTATTTGATGGGAGTCCACTGAATCTGCTCGCGAGCGTACTCATCCTGCTCAGCCTTGAGGGTCAATTGGATGAAGATTTGCTGCAACTTCTCGTTGACATAGTTGATACAGAGTTGCTCGAAGGAGTTCTTCTCGAAGATCTCAAAGCCATAAATATCCAGAATACCAATCGAGTTCGCAATCTCCCCTCTGGCAGTCAGGGAGGCGTTGACACGCTGCACAATCCAGTCAAACAGGTTGAAGTAGATTGCTTTGGCCAATGCATCACGAACGGCAAGAGCTTGGACAGTGTTGAGTGGGACCTCGTAGACTGACCCTCTGCGACCTCCACGAGCAGTTTCCATCACACGAATGGTAAATGCCTTGTTCACCTGAGCAGCATCCACCTCCAGGAGGTAGGCAACATAGTCAACCACCGACTGATCCGTAATAACAGCGTTTCCGGAATCGTCTTCTGCAAATTGAACGTTGCCGATCCACAAGATTGCAGCCAGCATACGGAAGACATCATCCTGCTCACCCTCCGTCATGCCAATCACGTTCATTGCATTCAAAGTATCGCGGAACTCAGCAGAATCGTCAACGCCTGGAACGTCATAACATTTCGATCGGCTGGTGTAGAGGTATGACTGCGGTTGCTGTATGCCGAATAAATCTATCCGTCTGTCAGTGGGAGAAACACTGGTGAGATCGGAAATCTCAACTCACCTCTATACTTCTGCGGCGCCGCCTTGGTGAATTGGTAGAAAATATGGAAGTTTCGCTCGTTTGTGATTTGTCCTACTACTCTGGATTTCTCGAGCAGGTAGTTGGTGATATTGGCACCCACAGGTTCACCGTTTGTGTTGAACTCCAGTTCGAGATACTTCCCAAACCGTGAGGAGTTATTGTTGCGCAGGGTCTTCGCATTACCGAATGACTCGAGCAACGGGTTGGTAGCTAGCACCATTTCCTTGGTGTGCTGGATGGACGAGTCAGTGCCTCCGGATACACTGGCGATGTACTGCATAATCCGCTTCGCAGCTTCCGTCTTTCCTGCACCCGACTCTCCTGAGATAATCACGCACTGGTTATCCTTGTAGGACTTCATGTTGTAGTAGGCCGATTCTGCGACCGCGAAGACGTGGGGAGGCACTTCGAGTCGATTTTTGCCTCGATAGGACTGGAGAACATTGTCGGTGTAGATACCCACTGCGAATCAACGATGTCAGCGACGCGACTTTGAACATCGCACATGGCTCGGTATAAACTCACGGTCTCGGAAAGGGTTGACGGACACCAACACATGACCGATATATGTCTATCATCCGAAGAATCCAGATCAGCGCACGCCCTCAGTAGCGCAAAATCCCGAGGTCCGCTAGTCAGGGGATGATGCTTACATAGATCTCGTCATGTTCAAAGCGCAGCTTCAGGTTGTCATTGATAGCCTCGTTCGAGATTTTGCTCAACAATGTAAGATCTGAAACACCAATTTCCTTCTTCTTTGTGCTCTCAAAGGTGGCCTTCTTCACCTGAGGCTTGCCCCCCGTTTGTCGCCCATCGCCCACATCGGCAGCCGCCTTGGACCGACCGAAGCCTCGACTCTTCTTCTCTCCGCCAGCAGGACGTCGTGAGTGTCCCTAGAAGTAAGCGCGGGGTTAGAAAACAATTTCTGAACTAAGCAAAATCTCTTTCTGAAGCTGAGCGTGTAGGTTAAGCGTAGACGTACCATGATTGTTGCTGCCGACTTCCCCGGATATGGCGCCAGGCGTCAAGATATCTGACCTATCAGTTTCGAACGGCAGCGGCAAGTGAGCGTGGAAAAGACAAGATAGATGTACGCAAAAGACAGGACGCTCAATCCAAGCAGTGCGCAGAGTCGGTAGAAAGAATGGTGGATGTCAATGTAAGGAAAGGAGGGGGAAGAGGGGAGGGGATGAACAATAGTAGGAACTTAGAATGACGATGGTGTCTTGTGGAGGACTGGACTGGAGTCTTAGTCCTTACTGGGCCTTGATAGGACTAAAGACGACTCTCCTGGATAATAACGGGGCCTGCGCCACACTAGACACACATGTGGCACCGTTGGGTTCCCTTTGTCAGGTCGAAAACGCGCAATCTCGCTCAGGCTCCGGAGTTCTCTTAGTCAACCGGCCGCATATCCGACTCATCCCAGGCTAACTTTTTCGAACTTTGTTCGATTCCTTCGCCGCTCGGGCATTTAAGGGGGCAAATCATTCGTGGTCCCTGGCGCTAAAAAATGCCATTGTCTCCAAATTAGGAACTGGAGCACAACCCGGGTATTACGATGCCTAGCGATATTATTTCTTGGCCTTAGGCTGTCAAAGGGAGAAAACTTCGTGATCATCCCCCTCCTACGTCACTACTGCATTTAAATAAAGCTTCTGCCTTCGCTTTGGATGAAATTGCATAGTGGAGTTTGTTAGGCATTTTAATGTGCACTTCAGTGATTTCTTGATGTTTCTTCCGGGAAAGAACGGAAATACTGCAGTTTGGTCGGGTTATGTGGCATAAGGTGTTGATTTCCTACGATGCTCACATAGGTTATATATTTCCCTTCCGACTCAAGCATTCCTATAGATGCAACACGTTGGATACATCATGTCGGCTCATGCGGTCATTAAATCAGATAAGATGCAGGTAAAAAGCAGAGCTTAAGCATTTACTCATAAACGTGATCTTCCTTCCAGAACTGAGCAATGTCCGTTCCCAGTTGACTGCCCAGATATTCTTCTAGCATAAGCCTCCCTTCCTGTGTGCGGATGGCCTGGCTCAAAGATTTCAAGGATGGGAATAGATCACTCAGAACATTTGCATCCTCTTCCGGGAGAGAAGGAGAGGACGGAGCTCTCATGTGATGTAGTAAAGACACAGTGTCCGTCAAAGGCCGAGAGAAAGGCGGTAGAATCGTAAGACTGCCTATATATTCCTGAATGCAGGCCATGAAGCAAGATGAGTCAGGAATTGGGATCATGGGCAAATGATCTGGTAGGGATTCAACCATGCTGGTTGGACAAAGGATGGATCAGCTGAGGTTCAGTCCAGTCCCGAGTTTTTCGACTTAGGTCTAAAAAAATCTCTAGAAAGAGAAGAGTAGGCGTACAGTACTTGCAGAGCCAGGAGTCCTTCGAGGCTGTACCTGCCACTTGCACTGCTGAAGGGCTCTTCCGTAAGGAGGAAAGCAATGACTTTTCTGTGCGAGCCTGTGGCCATGTACGAAAACCTTTCCAGTTGAGCGATTGTCTCTTGCCTGTTGTCTTGAACAGAAGATTGAGAGAGAAGCAAGATCTTCAAATGCTGTGAATTGCCGAGATCAAAATCGAAATCCGCTTCTCGCAAAACACACTCTAGTTTAGATCACATTCAGAAGTGACTCAAAGCTGAACTGAGGTTCGTATGCAAACCTTCGAGCATTGGCACAGACGCTGTAATTACCGGGCCCATCACTTTCCAAAGAGGACGATTCTTTAGAGAAGAGGAAAATGTCCCTCGAAGAGATGACACGGCAGGATCTGGCATCGCAAGAAGCGAATAAGTCTATAGTGTGACCTGACAGCCGGATTGGAGAGTATATGTACAAGAATGAGGAACATGCCTTTGTGGGAGTAGAGAGGAGAGTGGTCAAGTCATGCAATGTCTGGACTCTCATCCAACTTTCCTCCTTCCGCCACAACCAGATAAACTATCGACCCATCATCTATTACCATAACAGAGGGTATCCTGAAGACAAGACATGCTAATGCTGGCATCCAACAACTCCGAAACCGGAAACTGCATAAAAAGAAATGTGAGCGAAGATTATGGGGAGGTTATTTATGTGCAAACCCCCACACCAGTCGAACCACTCAATGATTCTTTACCGAGGGCGTCTCATGAGCCACCGATTTCGCTGGTGATTTGTCGAATTGAATAGGGACTGCTGAATTTGAGGGCGAGCTTGGGTTCGACTGTACGACGGGCTTGGGTACCTCGCCCGGTTTCTGTTCAGTGGTCTGTCCAAAAGTGAAGAACGAAGTGATCCGCGACCACCAGTCCAGCTCCGCCAGCTCTTCAGCCTCTTCTTCCTCTTCAACTTCCCACACTTCACGCGGAAGTATTCTAACCGACGATTTGACTGGCTCCCCAGCCTTGGTCTTGAGATGTATGACTTCCTTTTCCAAGGCGACCAGGGCCTTCCGGGCGGCCTTCTCAGACTGCTCCAGTTCGACTAACCTGGCCTCAACATCTTCTCTCCGCGTTGTTTCCTTTCTCCTTGATCTCCATGATTCAAACACGATCAGTCCACCCGCAACGAGAAATAAGAAGGTCTCGCTGATGAAAGTCGCGCCCGATTCTATGGCTTTAGATTCTGACAGCGGTCGAATATGAGGAGTGGGAGCCGGTTTCGCTGCCTCTGAAGCCGCAGCCTTTGCTTTAGCTATGGCCTCCTCTTCGGCTTTGGCTTCTGCTGCCGTCTTTACCGTCGGCGCTGTGGGTTTGTGTTTTCGGACTTCGGCTTCGGCGGCTGCACGCTTTTGAGCCGCAGCATTATCCCGTAGGTTTCCTAAGCGGAGACGCATGTCGATTCGATGCAGGCCTTGCGCTATGGAGACACAGATTCGTCGGAAGCGCTCATGTTCGCGAGCCTGGGCTTTGATTTGATTCTTAAAGGTGTAAGTCTTTCAGAGCTTCAAAAATTGGAGGGGTGGAGGGGGGTGAAGCATACTGCAATCGGCTTTGACAGAGTGCGAATCACAAGAGAAGAGAGCTTTAAAGTCAGAGACATCTTGACAGCTCTCAACACAATTCAGGGGTTGAATTGAGTAGACGTCCAGGCTACTGCTGCAGTTGATGATGATGCCTGATAGCCAGGCACTCACAGCTGCTCCGGCGCTATGGCCGTATCGGGAATGGTCCCTGACTCTCTGCGTCATTTACAACCGCATTACGAATGATATACATGATTATGTCAGCAATGCACGTTGTTGCGGCAGTTGGATGAATGTTTATCGATTACCCGATTAAGCAATCCGTTTTGAATCGTCAATTCCTTCTTCACCATCACAGTTGGCAGCCTCAATACCATCATCATCACTCCCTGCTTCCCCTCCCCCGCCTCTCATCAGGGCTGTCAGTTTGATTGTTGTGGCGTTACATGCATATCATTGTTTCAGAGAGTTATAGTTGATCATATTTTTCTACTTGCACTTGATTTTTGGTAAGAAATCACTCACCCCGAATCCGAGTTCTTTGTTTCCACGAGGGGAACACCGAGACGACATTGGATGACCCGGTTCCAGACGTACTGACGGATTTGAGCCATAGATACCAAAAGCAGCTCTTCTATTATACCCCTTTTCGCTCCGTCTTGCGTTGATTGTCTCTATTGTAGCGATACTTTTATGACCTCGACAAATATTTCGTCTCACCTTGCCTGGTCGCACGCTTGATCTCCAATGCGAAAATTGATGCCCACGCAGAACAAGGAATTCGATCGAAGGACTGGAATTGAAGATGGAAGCATTGTCGCCGCGATCGACGAATCACTTGATCAGACCTAAAGTCAGCATGGAGCGAAAAGTCCTGGACAAGAATGCCGCTGCGGCCGCAGCGGCGCAAAAAGCCGCTTCGTCGAAAATTCATGCGCCTCCACCACCATCGCTGGTTGTAGAGCCCGCGGAAGGGGGTGAGCGCTATTCTACTGGTGCTTTTCTTGGAAAAGGAGGTTTCGCAATCTGCTACGAAGGAACGCTATTGCGGAATGGAAGAGTCTTTGCAATGAAGGTGGTGAGGGCTGAGATGGCGCAGAAAAAGATGCAGGAGAAGGTATGTCTCGAGTCGCATCCGTCCGCATTGACGTGCTTTTATCAACCCTGTTCTAACCAGAACACTCTGTAGTTTCGAACCGAACTTCAAATACATTCGAAAATGCGACATCCCCACATCGTCGAATTCCATCGCGCCTTTGCATTTGACAAGTGTATCTATGTGGTCCTGGAGCTGTGTCCAAACGGTTCAGTAATGGACATGGTGAGGAAAAGGAAGTGCTTGAGCTTGCCCGAAGTGCGACGATTCATGATACAGCTTTGCGGTGCCGTCAAGTATCTCCACAAGAGGAGTGTTGCGCATCGTGATCTGAAAATGGGAAATCTGTTTTTGGATCGTAATATGGACATCAAAGTGGGAGATTTTGGACTGGCAGCGATGATTATCTCTGAAAAGGACGAGAAGCGGAGGAAAACGCTGTGTGGGACACCGAACTATATTGCTCCAGAGGTCCTTGATAAGAGTAAGGGTGGTCATACCCAGAAGGTTGATATTTGGTCGTTGGGTATAATATGGTAAGCAAGACTACAGTCATGACACGCACGGGGTTCCTACTAACAAATATTTTCGAAGCTTTGCGATGCTTACCGGTTATCCGCCTTTTCAGTCTAAAACACAGGAAGAAATATACAAGAAAGTCAGGAATTTGAGTTATGTTTGGCCCAGCGGCACTCAGTGCGCCAATCACATCCCCGACGAGGCCAAATCTCTGGTCAGCTCTTGTCTCAATCTCTCAGAGAACGAGCGGCCTGACCCAGACGACATTGTCGAACATCCATTCTTCAATATGTATGATGGATGTATCCCTCGTCGACTGGACCCAACTTGCACTGTTTCGACACCGATCTGGCTTAGGTCGGATGAGCCTCGTGGTGATCGCATGATGCTCGGTCATAGCCTGGAGTATGACGAGAAGCTGTCAGGCTACATAGAGCATGTTGATGACCCGGCACAGCGATACCTCATCTGCCGGACGGCTTTCTACAGTCTCTGTGGAGTCGGACGTAAACCAGATGGGACAGCTCGCAAGTCCGTTGGCAAAAACTGTTCGAAATCTGCATTTGCGGAGTGTCTATCTGAGGAGGAAAAGGGAATGCAGCCAGTTATGCCGCTGCCCGAAGACATGGTCTACAGATACCCTAGTGACCCAGACGGGGACTGGAGCACGCCCAGTCCTGGCCTTGCACTTGGCAAGGATGACTCGTCACTGGACGGTACGAGGTCCTCTGGTAAGCGTACCGTATCCATGCGCAGTAATTCTGCCTCTCTTTCCAGAACCCAAGCCGCTCTTGCTGCAGCCCAGCAACGACGGAAAGAACCGCAGAGTCATGCTGCAACGCTTCGACAACAGGCAATGGGTGCTCGAAGCTCGGTCAGGAGGATTGCGGCTATTTGTGATCTACCGGCGGTGGTAGAACCCGAGTCTGCTGCTCCTGTCGTGCCAACCGGTGGACTCGCGGAAAGACCCATTCGCGCGCGACGCGGAGTGGCGGTCTCGTACTCAGGTTCAACGCGTGACTTGGACAGGAAGATTGTGCCATCCACCAGTGACCCTGGGATGCTAACAGTGGGTAAAACACGGTCGCAGTCTCGACGACTCGGAGCGGCAAGCAACGACGCACTTTCCGCTCCCGCCGTCATCAAAGAGCGGCCTGTCTCCTCAGCGTTGGACAATCTACCTACGAGGTTACGCCAAAGCTCTGCACGTTCAGTTGCGAGGCAAGAAGCTCTCCAATCTTCCAAGCGGCAGGAGCTAGAAGAAGAAGTCAAGGCGATGGAAGTGCCAAGTGGAGATGGCCGTCTGCGAACAGAAGCCGCCGTAAGCCGTTCCAGTAGCAAAACAGCCTCCACGTCAAGCAGTAAGCGCTCGACATTAGGACTGTATCCACTCCTTCATCCGGATGATCACTGCGAGATGATGCCAAGGACATCTCTCGAGGATGTCAACACCGACCTCCGACTGATGCTTTCTAACCTGGTGCCTCCGACATCTGGTCGCCGGCGCGTAAGCTCGAGAAGGACACCCCATGCATACGTCATCAAATGGGTAGACTACACTAATCGTTATGGCATTGGGTATGTTCTAGATGACGGTAGTGTGGGATGCGTGTTCAAAGCGGAGAACGGCCAGCCGGCCAGTGGAGTTCTGCTACGGAATGGTGAAAGGCATATCCGTCGGAAAGCCCGTAGCCTAAGCAAACAAAAGGATGCAGCCTCTACCTACTCCGAGGCTGATCAGCTCGTGCCTCGTAACGGCAAGCCGGTGGAATTCTATGAGAACTGCGAAATCACATCGTTAGACGGTCTGACGGGGATCAGGCGTGCGCTCATTCCCCCTTCTGTTTTCGAGGTGAAGCCGTCTTCCGATGGCTCCTCTGGTGCTGGAATCAAGGTTCGCACAAACTCCGGTCTCGAACGCGCGCGTGCCGATGCAGAGAAGATCAAACGCGTGAAGCTGGTTGATCAGTTCGGCAAGTATATGATTGGATCCTTGGGCAGACATGACGACGATGACGTCTCGGAAGATGATAAACCAACAGACGGGCTTGGCCAGTTTATCAAGTTCTACCAGCGATTGGGCAATGTCGGTGTCTGGGGGTTTGGCGACGGAGCTTTCCAGGTTTGTTAGCCCACCTTTGCAACTTGATACACGTTCTAATCATGCTCTCGAATAGTTCAATTTCCCCGACCACACAAAGCTTGTCATTTCCCCCGGTCGTACAAGAGCCTCATCACCCTGGATTGACTTCTATCATCTCTCCCCTTCGGCGGCCCGGTATCTGAGTGCAAAAGGAAAGATGCACCCGTCCGGATTTGACACTCGAGCCGTCGCTTCAGACGAGGCCACGGCATTCCTGAGCATTGCACATGGCAGCATGATGAGCTCCGTGGATGAGCGCATTCGCGATGTTTTGGAAGCCAACTTTTTTCTGGAGAAGATCAGCTTTATCAAGGAAGTCATGAAGAGCTGGGTTAAGCATGGGCGCTTGGGAGGTGGACCATCGCAAGATCAGACTTCAGTTGACGCTTCCAAGATGCTTTGGGAGGGCATTCAGGAGCGGGCGCAACTTGGAGGAGGCAAGTTTGTTTGGGTGACCGTCGGGGCTCCTGGAGGGGATGGCGAGTATCGATCCATTTCTCTGAAAGAGAAAGAAACAGAAGGAAGAGAGAATGACCCGGAAATGGAGTCTTTACGAGAGCGATTGCGGGCATTAGCTACCAAGCCGTAGATTCGGCAACCTTTCCAGCTACAACTTACGATGTCACGACTTTGCGATTTGTGTTTTCCTTGACTCAGGATTCAAGCCTGCGATCACTGAAATTTCTTTTGTGATATCCAACAAAGCGCTGAGTGGTTTGCATAAAGCTTATAGCTTCGTTCTGTCAATTAGCATTGAACACAATTTGCTGCTACTCTTTCTTGAGATACAATGACTCCAATGTACTGATATCCTGTTATGGAGGAAGTGGTCGCTTGTATCGCGTATCCGTTCTCTCATCTCATGATAAATCCTTTTCTAGTCTGATTCCAACAGCGCACCGTTATCGTGCTTGTATGGCATCGAAACAGTGCTCGTCTGAGCCCAGCTGCCAGGAGCTGACCATCTGCTTGGACATTGGAGGCGCATTCGACCTCCACAGCCATAGACCAGTGGAAAAAATCTCGAGGTATCTCCAGGAGTTTCTTTGAATGATTCCATGCGCTACGGCCTTCGTCACTGTGTCATGTAATACAGGTGTCTATCGTGCGGGGTTAGATAGCCCCTCTGTCTTCGAGCAAATGGCATTCAACATCTAGCATTCATCGATTTGCCCAATATTTCCGGCCTTACTGAGATCTGTCTGCGATCTACCCATCACAAAATGGGCACCGTCTCTTTGTCAGAGATGCAGAATCCGTCATGTCTGCTGTACGGCCGGTTTGACGCAAGATTCGAAGATAGACCCATCCCACAGATCGAGGACCCATCCGACGTGATAATTCGCATCGCATACACCGGCGTCTGCGGAAGCGACGTAAGTCACATACCTCCCTTCCCCTGGCCATAACAGAACCCAAATCTAACAGCAAGCACCAGGTCCATTTCTGGCTCCATGGCGGAGTCAAACGCCTCGTATCCCCGGAGCAACCGCTCGTCATGGGCCACGAAGCGTCCGGCATCGTCCACGCCGTTGGACCCTCGGTTTCTACCCTTCAACCTGGGGACCACGTTGCCATTGAACCGGGCTACCCATGCCACCGGTGCGCCTGCTGCAAGAGCGGCCGGTACAACCTCTGCCCGCGGATGAAGTTCGCTGCGGCGCCGCCGAGCTGCCACGGCACGCTGACGAAGTACTTCCGTCTGCCTGCGGATTACTGCTACAAGATCCCTCCGGGGACGCTAGGGCTCGACGAGGCGGTGCTGATGGAGCCGCTGGCGGTGGCGGTGCACTCGGTGCGACAGGTGGGTGTGCGACCGGGGGATCGCGTGGCGGTGTTTGGTGCGGGCACGGTAGGCTTGCTTTGTGCAGCGGTGGCGAGGGAGTTTGGGGCCGCGACGATCTTTATGGTTGATATTAACGCAGCGAAGCTGAAATTCGCGTGGTCGTTTCTCGCGAGCGAGGGGATGATCTTGGGGACGTGGCTGCCTTCTGCTCCCGGGTCTTCGGAGGAGTACGCCGCCGCTTTGCTGGCTGCGTGTGAGCGAATGGAGAACCGGAGCGACGAGATTCCCGGCTTTGATGTCGCTATTGAGGCTACGGGCGCGGAGCCGTGCATTCAGATGGGGATTGAGGTGCTTCGGGTTGGGGGTGCGTTTATCCAGACGGGGCTTGGGAAGCGGAATGTGAGCTTTCCTATTTGCACGGTTGCAGAGAAGGAGATTGTGGTAAAGGGGTGCTTTCGGTATGGGCCTGGGGATTTTCGGATGGGGCTGCAGTTTGCGGTTGAGGGGAGGATTCCTGTCAAGGAGTTTATTACGAAGGTGTTGCCTTTTGAGAGGGCGACGGAGGCCTGGGAGACGACGAGATGGGGAGAGGGCATCAAGACGTTGATTGAGGTGTCCAGTGAGGCAGAGATCCATGAAAGTTTGAACATTCAGGTTTAATATTATAACAGCAGCCTGCGGTCACTGTTCTAATACCATATCATAGTATTTAACTGCAAAAGCATATTTGTGACATGTTCAGTATGAAAATTAGTCTCTCAAGAACAGTCTGTATGTACATCGGCCAAGTCATTCAGTTTTCGCTCGAAGCAAGCGTGCTTTCCTCCTCATCTCAGCATCACCCCATGCCAGCCACCTACTCGCTTCTACTAGTTGTATCACATTCACATACTGCTTGAACAGCATGAACGGCAACGAGAGGGTAAGCAACAACCACGGCATGAAACTGTCGATTTTATTGGCCCTAGATTCGATCAGCACCAGTCCTGCCTCGCCAGAGCTATACTTACCGAGCCATTTCCATAGCTCCAGCACTCCAAGGCAATCCCCAAATCTGGGATGCTGTTTCGTCAGTTCCTTGAGGCATCAGCAACGGCGAAGAGAACGAAAGAAGATACAGCGCGATGAAAAACGCCTCGGTCATCGTGCATACAGTAAACAGAACGTTCTGTAGATACGTTAATTCATAATATCTGTATTCAAATGGTGATGCAGACCTGATTAGAGTAATATATTCTCATAACCCAGGGCCGACTCTCATCGATATCCTTGTGACTCTGGGTCTGTCCGCCCATTGCCAGGGTGGCATACATATGGATGTAGTGGCTTGAATAGTCCAGACTAATCAGTGCCTGAAAGACGATACTCCATCTGGGGAACGCAGATGCGAGAAAGACCAGCAGACAGGTTGTTGTGCATCGGTCGGTGATCATGTCCAGGATGGCGCCGAAGCGTGTTGACTGTCCGAGGCGTCGGGCAGCTGCTCCATCTAAGGCGTCTAGGAGGCATGAAATGCTGTATAGGAGTGAACAGGTTCGTGGGTGATAGGGCATGTAATAAAGGGAGGCAATGGCGAAAACGATTCGGGTGTAACCTAATGAATAGTCAGTAAGGTATTGGGTGACACGGGGCTGTACGGCTTGAGATTCTCGTACCTATCAAGTTTGGGGTAAAGAGAAAAACATTCTCTTCCTTTTCGTTTACCGGTTTTTGATTGATCGGATGGGTGGACATGGTGTTAGACGGTTGCAGCGATGATCTCTGGGTAAATCATTGATTCTGAATAAAGACGGTTACCAATTTACAAGGATGAGCTAGATTGATCATGTGTCTTGATTGGAAGGGTCTTTTCCGACAGACACTAGACAGGGATCAGGATTACTGATAAATAGTAGAGATCCACATCTCTCCTATCATCATCCTAGCCTGATGTTCAGAGTCATTGTATCCTCAGAGGGTATCGCTGTATCACTACCCTAGATATTAGTTCCACTTTCTGGCTCTCAGGAGCAATGAGATGTATTATCTCTAACGAGTCTACATGCTTCCAGGGGGTTTCTACCCGATGCTTGCTTTGATCTCCTCCAACTACATCCCATCAGGCCATCATCGTGACCGTATCCTAGGACTTGGTCTTTCCAAGACAATACTTGACCTTCACCTATGCAATACTCTATACCTTATCCATCCCTTTCTAAACACCCAAAAACAACCAGCATCCAGAAACATAACAATGAATCAATTATCCCTCCCAGCCGGGCCGGCCCGAAGCATATACCCCTGCACATACCCACCCACCACCTCCCTCTCCTCCACCAACCGAAACCCAAACTTCTCATACAGCGGCCTCCCCACCGGCGACGCCGACAGATACGTCTCCAGTCCCACCTCATCAGCCCTCTCCAATCCCCACCGGAGCAGTCTCGACGCGAGTCCCCGCCCAGCGTACTCCGGTCTGGTCCCCAGCATCTCCAGATCTAGACAGTTAGCATGCACCTTTCTGTAACAGAGGCTATAAGGAAATCGCAGCTATAAGGAAAAGCTGAGGGGAAAGGAAATACAGTAATGAGGCCGAGCACCCATAATCTTCCGCTTCATCTCCGCCATTCCACTAAAGAATACCTCGCACAGCTCCCTGTCGGAACTAGCGGGGTAGTGATGCTCATCGCCTGCATGCGAATGCGAATGTTTCAAGGGGACATCCTCGGGGGAGGATTGAACTGGGAGCTGCCACACGGCAAACGCGACGATGGCCCCATCTGCTGAGTCGATTACCTTGAGGACGGTCTTGTGTGGGTTGTTGATGAAGGAGGTGAATTGGGCGGTCCAGTAGGCCGTTACGTCTGGGGTGCATGGAAACAGGCGCTGGTTGAAGGGGTCGCGGAAGGCGGCGAGGAAGACGGTTGTTAGGGCGGGGGAGTCTGTGGGGGTTGCGGGGAGGAGCTCAAAGGACATTTTCCTTGCTCTTTTGTTGTGTATCTATTTGTATATTTTATATTGGGTTGTGGATCTATGGTTTTGATAAGATGAAAACGCGGTGAGAGTAAGACAGATGAAATATGATGTGCCAAGACTTGCAGCTGTGGGACGAGTGGAGCATATTGCCCGAGTATGTTGTATGACTTGCATCTCATCTGTACTGATTATAAGGTATGTGTTTGTTGTGGTGATTGCTACAGATATCGATCATGCGGGTTCATTAGGATTAGCTATTAGCAGAGTTTATGCACATAACGTTCAAGTCAGATGAGTTATCAAACCCGGTCATAATGCGGGTGGCTCTGCTCATAATGCGGGTTCCTCTGCTCATAATGCGGGTTCCTCTGCTCATAGTGCGGGTTCTTCTCCAATACCGGCTCAGGAACAGACACCGGGCTGCCCGCATCAGGCTTTCCAGGCTGCTGCGATTCAGGTGCCCGCGCTTGCGGCAGAAACGACCGACGAGTCTGCCCCGGTCCAGCTGACGAGCGATTCTCCCCGCTCTTGGTCGCCTCGATCTCCCGCTTGACACCCTCGTACATGCTCTCGATGAAAAGAATCTCCTCCTGGACATCCAGCTGGCAGCCGTCGAGGCAGAACTCGCGCTCTCGCTGCTCAATATATTCCCGAATATTCCGCCATTCATTTTGGTAGTGCTTCAAACGATCGGGCAGCCCAGACCCCTTGAGATAGGTCAGTATACCCGCCATGATAGTGTTGATGGCGCCAAAGGCCGTGACGGCGTTGTGGGGCCCGCGTGCAGCGCCGAGAGCCGTCAGTGCGGCCGCGACCACAATCTGGATGCCCAGACAGGTGTTCATGAGGATGCTGAAAAAGCTGAACCGCTGTGCGGCGGCTTGCTCGGCGCGCACGACGCGCGTGTAGATGCCGACGTTGGGCGCGCTACGCGGGTGATGGTGCGGGATTGCTAGGGCCGGGACGGTGTCGATGCCGGTGAGAGCGCGGAAAACGAGCAGTTTGTCTGATGGCGGGATCAAGGTGCTGGCGTGGGTGGTCGCTACCGTCAGGCGGCGGGCGAGTTGTGGATTATTTGCGGAGCCCATGGATAGACCCTCGTTTTCTTGGTCATGCAGTCCGTGCATTGTAGGGTAGTGAGGGTAGCCCTGTTCCTCGCGATCAACGGGGTCGATGATTGCTGTCAGGACACGCCTGAGAAGGGTCGGTCGGGGTCGTTCGGCCATGGTTGTTTGCACCTTGGCTCTTTGGCTCTGCTTTAGAACAGGTGACTGGACGAGCTGTAAAGAGTCTGTGTAAGTTGGAATTCAATGTCGAGCGTGCGGGACAGCCCCATGATACTTAAGGATCTGTCAAGCACCGCGAGCTTCCGAAAGTGGACTCCATTTCCTGTCTTTGCTTATTTTTTTCCCTCCTGTTTCTTCGTCCCAGCTTGGTCTTGACTCAGCTAGCCTAGGGCCCGGCGGCTGCAGCCAAAGATATGAGTGCCGAATCATATCGAAGATAGTGCCAGTGAAGTGAAATGAGATGGGAAAACTTGACCAATAATCAAGCCATTCATGTCCGCCGATGCCTGAACAAGACGACCGACTGCAGATCAGCATGTTTTGGGCAATGAGTCCGGCCGATCCCTCGGGAGCTCAGGCGTGCGGGAGCGGCCCTCTGAAGAACCAGACCCAGACATTCACAGCAGGACTACTTCGTATACGGAGTATTCGGCACGCAAACTCCTCCTTACTCGTGCTCCTTGCTCTGTCAAATGACTATTCCGTGCAGGAACTTGATTACACCCATGGGTATGATGCGCATAGTGGTGGAAGGGACAGCGGACGATTTGGAATACTGATGTCGACGCAGAAGTGGGAATGCGAACTCTTCATTTAGCGTGTCTTGGCGATGGACACACGGGAAGTTAAAGAGTGATTGACGAACTGGAGATCAAGGCTCAAGATGTGATGGACAATTTTGTTGCTGAAGATGGGGATGGGTCAAGTCCAGACTCTGTGCAAAAGTGTCACTCGTGCGGTCGGAAAATCTCCCCACCAATAGATTACCATTAATACTCTGTAGAGCACACTGTTTCGAGTCGTTCGAAGATACAACTCGTCAAGTCAGTGTTTTCATGACAATGAACATGAGGAAAGTCTGGCATCAGCGTGTTGATCATCAATAGGTCTTCGTGTTGCAGTCTTGTTTCACGCAACATGAAACACTTTGCTGAAGATACAGAGTAGTCATGCGGCATGACAGATCGGAGAGATTCTGATCAATAACCAATCTAATCAGCGATCCTCTACATGCACATGACCTTTTGCAGCACCAAGCAGGAGGCTGGACAATCCATCTTAGGTATAGTGGCTTAGCTCAGAACCCCAGTAGAGCCTAAACAGTTGTATCACTGGGTGCACCTCTTATAAGGGTCCTTTTCTATGGCGAATATCTACGAAAGGATGATCTTGATGATAATGAACCAGAAGAATGTTTGATGTCCAAAGTGTCCTTGGATATTCCGCGGAGCATTGGCCCGACACAGTTGTCTTCATCCTTTCTGATCTCGGCTTCAGTACCAGTCTTCTGCAACTCCAAGTCGGACATCTTCCATGCGTGCACAAGCCAGAGGCAGAGAGCTGCTCCTATATACATAAAGTCAGTAAATATCTGGGCATGCAGAAAATTGGTTCGGTTCAGCAAATGTGCTCGGCATGACCACCGAGAGCCGGAGTATAGACAGGGCAGATGGTAAGACTTGCAGTCCCACAACTTCGACGGCAACCGGAGCAACGGTAGTCGTGAAGGTTGGGGCAACAACGCGGCCAACCAGGGCATAGAAGATGAGGACCCCAAAACTTTTGGCAAAGATCCAGATTACAAGAGAAAAGAGACCAGCCAAGAAGGTACAAGCGGCTGCGGTGTTTAGTGGTCCAAAGCTATTGCTGGCGTACCCTATAGCGGGTCGGCCAAGGCCTCCTCCAAGATTGAATATAGCCCAGTGCTTGCGTAGCTGGGGATGGGAAAAAGAAGGACCACATAGCCCAGCACGCTAAAAAGGGAGCGTCAGCGGCTGAACCACTGAGGGATGATACCAACGGTGCCACTGAATTGCATTCCCATCCCGAATCCAAAACACAAGGCCTGACTCAAAAACAATCGCCAAATCTCGGTCGCCCATGACGCTCCTAACAATGCTGCGCTCTGGAGTATAATTCCTATCGTCAAGGTAGTCCTTGTCCCCCATTTTCGAGTAGTGATTGTTGCGACTGGAGCGGTGAACTGGGCCATACTGAGGGAAAGGCCTCCGATAAAGGCAAAGTCTGGGTCTGATGCGTCCGGAAATGTATTCGTGTCCAGATAATGTGCCAGAAATATACCATATGACTAATTACAACGAAAATTAGCAAATCAAGCCATTGCCTGAAGGCCACGAGAACTCTACACTATTGATTTCCCAAGTATGAGCATTGACCAAAAAGACGCACAGCACACAGACCCAGCCATAACCACCGTCTGGGGCAGGCTCTACCTCTCTGCGTGCCGGTGGTGCTTCCTCGGGGTCAGTGTTGACCGGTTTGTCGTTCGCAGGGTCATTCTCGGATGGCGTCTTCTGTGAAAAGTCAATAGAAGGATGTTTGGAGTCGTGGCCAGGTGAAGACGCTGTTATCGCCTGACTCGAGTAATCATTCTTCTCCAACTGCATTTCTGGAGTAGAGCAGAACACAACGGAGGTAGGCTGGCGTGGTAAAAGCCCGTGAAGACTGTGCGTAAGACCTTGGCTAAATACCTCACTGACTGAGACATACGTAGAACTAGATGGACGGAGTATAGATCTAGGGACGAAACTCCCAGATCTTATGCACATATATCTGTACACCAGGGATTAATTTAAATTACTACTTAGAAGCGAACCACATTCTGGAGAAATGAGTCATGTACCTTGTCCATATGCAAACCATTGTCTGAAAAAGACACGCAACTCATGTACATTATCTTTATATGGCATGGAGCCCCGAGATACCCCAGTCCATGCCCCATAGTGGATCCGGCCCGGGGGCGGAAGTAAACTTGCGTAGAGTCTTTTAATCCTCCAGTGATCGATAAATTTGACGCACGCCACGATAACTCTGGATTGTTCCACCATTGGTCCATATCCACTATTGTCCAGTATCATAATGATTGTTACAAGCCATGTAAGTCGATCAAGAAGTAAGCTTAACCTTGGGGCGGGCAATACATCATTCGATGGTGATGGTGATTTGCCAGGAATCTTATTCCTTTCCTCAACTTTCAAGGAAAATTGACAGGACCGAACAATAGTAAACGATTCAGCTTGAGGTTGTCTGACTGCAAAGGATGTCTGTCTATAACGTTGACACCGTATGAAGCAAGGCATAAGAGGCGTCCAGTATCAGAATGCTCACTGTTAAGAATCACTATTACAGGTGGCTATGCATATAACTAACTTCGCGAGTCATTTGTGGACCTGGCTTGCAGTCGAGCAGGGGACCTGAGGCCATGAGGTAACAATAAGCAACATTATTGGTCCCCATCAACATGCACATGCATCTATAATAAAGTGCGGCAAAAGTGTACCTAAGCCCCTGCACGTAGGAGGCGAACTTAAGTGGAGCAATATAGTCCTCCAGTATCCAAGTAATGCCGTGGATTTGACACATGCCACTATACTCTCGATTGTTTCGCCATACCTCACTATCATAACGTTATTTACAAGCCGCGCAAGCCCTTTAAGTTCCTTAAGCCTCTGGACGCTCAAAAGTAATATAATCATATGGCTTGGCTGTCCTCACTGTAGGTAGGAGTAAACTCGAGTGGGGGAATTCAATTCTCCACTACAATTGGCCCACACCCCTTTCCCACAATCGTGCGCACTTTCCAGACTGTCATTGGGGAGGAGACGAAGGCACAAATGCTGGAACAACGGAATAAACTCCCGGATGCGGTTGTTGCCTGCATCGGTGGCGGCAGTAATTGGAATGTTTTATCGGTTTCTTGACGATCCAAGTGCGAAGCTCCTGGTAGTCGAAGCCGGGGGTGACGGCCTTGAGACGAAGAGGCATGCCGCTACTCTAAATGGCGGCACTACGGAGGTCTTGCACGGAAGCAGGACATATGAGTTGCTGGATCAGCTCGGACAGATACAAGATACCCATTCCATTTCAGCTGGCCTGGACTATGCCGGGGTTGGGTGTGTAGAGTCTGCATATTTCCCTGACGTATCATCGCTAACTATCTGAACAGGCCAGAGCTGAGTTCTTGGAAAGACTCAGGACGCGCAGAATTTATTGCCGTTACCGATGCTCAAGCTCTCGAGGGGTCCAAGCTGCTCAGTGAGTTGGAGGGGATCAGTCCCGCTCGAGAGACTGCTCATGCAGTCTGGGGCGCTGTTGAGCTGGCCAAGACCATGAAGAAAGACCAAGATGTTGTTATCTGTGTTAGCGGAAGAGGGTATGTCTATTCCCACAATGCACCTTGCGCTCTCGACTGACTTGTATCCAGTAACAAGGATGTGGAAAGCGTAGCGGAGGAACTGCCTAGACTTGGACCAAAGATTGGGTGGGATTTGAGGTTCTAATAGAACAACAGTTGTTGTCTGACCAATCATTTGGGTTAACTAAAGATGTTAGATGTGATGAGGTCGCCTGGTTGGGGAGAAGCTGAAGTAGACTGCAACACCAAATCAGCATAAGAGCTCTTCAACAGCGCTTTAATGGTAATTGATGCCTTGATGGGTAGTTTACCGACAACTTAGAGGGAATTGATAGTTCATTCAATAATCATCACATTTACGACAAATAAGAGATGCAAACTTCAATGAAATTTGATATTACAGTTGAAGGATCGCTATTTCTACACTGGAATACCAACATTGCCGCTGTACATGCTTTCTGTCCGTAGGCACACGTACACGAGATGTTCACTGATTCTTCTGATCACTGTCGTATGAGCATAACCTCGGTTATCGATGTTCAAACAACCAGCATTAGTAATGCAAGTGTGGGGATTTCTGGATAAGGCCCGATAAGGAAATCTCCTGCGATAGCCGATGGGAATTCTGTCCCCTCCTTCGAGATATTTGCAATTATTGGCAACAATTGCTCATCTGGAGATTCTGGAGCAGACGGGCCGGGTCGATAGTACTGCGTTTGGGACCACCTTTCATACCGGGTCATTTCTAGGGAGTCGACTGTCCTCTTTCTAATATCTTTCAGCGTCTAAGTCTCGACTTTCTGACAACAAAGAGAAATGGGTGATGCGGGTTTAGTCAAGGAGCAGTTGCTCATAGCTTTCATGCATGACCTGCCCGCAGCGGTAATCGAACATATCCGTGCCAAATTTCCCACCGCCGATATTACCATCATTCACCTGGAGAGAATGGCTCCGATCCCAAGTGGTTCGTCATGCACTCTTTCAACTGACATCGGAGACGCTGACGCTTCGCCTAGAATATGCGCGGAAGGCCACCATTATTGTGACTTTTACCAATCTGCCGAATTTCGAGGACTCTGCCAAGTAAGTGTACATGACGGCATTCCTACTCAGGTGGCCCTTACCGATGCGAACTGACCGTGCCAGTATCAAGCTGATTCACACTCTCTCGGCCGGAGTCGATCATCTCTTGACCCATCCTATTCTCAAAGACAGCAAGATACCCATCAGCACCAGCTCGGGGATCCATGGACCTCCCATTGCCGAATGGACTGTATTGAACTGGCTCGCAGCGTCGAAAGAGTTTGTTCGGACGTACGAGAATCAAAAGCGGCATGTCTGGGGAGATGTGGATGAATACATGCATGGGCTGCATGACCAGGTTGGGAAGAAGGTCGGCATTCTGGGATACGGAAGTATTGGGCGACAGAGTATGTTATTGACCACTTCAATGAAATGTCTGCTGACGGTGATCCAGTCGCCCGTGTCGCTGTGGCTCTAGGAATGACTGTCCACGCGTATACGGCTTCTCCTCGCCTGACTCCCGAATCCCGTCGCGATACTGGATACATTATCCCCGGCACCGGCGACAAGGACGGCTCAATACCAGTATCATGGCATCACGGCACAGACAAGGCATGTATCCATTCATTTCTGAGTCTCGGATTGGACCATCTGGTAGTCTGTGTGCCATTAACGGCGCAAACACATCATCTTCTCGGAGCTGAAGAATTCGCCGTCTTATCCTCACACATACCCGCCGGACATCCCAAGCCATATCTGACCAACATTGCACGCGGAAAGGTCGTCGACCAAGACGCATTGATCGCGTCTCTCCGGTCAGGTGAGTTGAGCGGGGCAGCGCTGGATGTCACCGATCCGGAACCGCTCCCTGCGGATCATCCGCTATGGGATGTGCCAAATGTGCGAATCAGTCCTCATATTAGCTCCCTGGGCAAGGAATATTTCCCCCGGTCATTGGAAATTGCCAAGGAGAATATGTCACGACTGGAGAGGGGAGAACCGCTGGTCAATGAGTACAAACGGACTAGGGGATATTGATTTGGATATTTTTGACTGGGGAGGACCTTTACTTTTTCTTTCCATGAAGCGCGCATTTCAAGAATTAGAATTGATCCCGGCCCGGCCTTATTTAGATACTTCCTACTTCGGATACAGTACACAAACTGAGTTTGACAGGCGGACATACCATACCCCGCACAGACCAATCAAAGGCAACCCCGCATGCCGCGGTGACAAGCTTATCGCCGGCGCTTATCATTTGGCTGAAAGCCTGGAACCTCAGGAATCCAGGATCGGCTCATCATTCATTCCATCGGGCTTTCCAATTCCAGGTCCCAACACTCGTTCTATCCAATCCTGTATGTGACAGTCAATGTCTCCCTTCCCCTTTCTCTCCCTTCCTCCCGAAGTCCGCCTCCAAATCTACCACTACTTGATCCCCAACATCCCCGTTCGCAACTTCTCCCTGATCCGCAACAAAAAACCGCCCCTCAGACGAGACGGGAAACCCTGCTGCCCCGCCCTCCTCCGCACCAACCATGCAATACACACCGAAGCCATCCGCGAATGGTACAGCGCCGCGGCCTACGAAGTCATCGTCGATGCGAAATATATTCTCTTCTGCGGCAAGATCTTAGCCCCCTATGTCCCGCTTCCGTCTACGATCCGCTACGTCACAACCATGCACCTCTGCATCGCGCTGCAGCGCACTCCCTTACATCTCCTCCGGCCCGAGGCCACGGCACCGCTGGAACACCTCCTGGGCTTCCAGGATAGGCTTGTGACACTGGCGAAGGGAATCGGGGATCCGGTTGGGCGGAGGCTAAGGACGCTCTTGGTGGAGATTGAGGTTGATGTGCCGCTGCTATTGAGCTTGAGTAAGACGCCGGCCGAGCTGCTGGAATTGCTCCGGTGGAACTTGGATCCGGTCAGGCAGAATGTGAGGGGGGTGGAGGTTGTTAAGTGGGAAGTCAAGGAGCAGAGTTATGGGATTCAGAGTCGGGAGTTTCTGGCTGCCTATGGGGAGTTGAGGACGGTCATGCATCGGTTTTTGGAGAATATGAGGGAGGAGATGGTATCCGACGAGGATGAATTGGTTTGATGCTCATGTATGTATTTATGACCATGCAATTATGATAATGATGTAATTAGGGAGTTGTCTGCTAATGATGCTATCTGGGGACCGTCCCAAAAAGGAAAAAAAACATGGCCAAGCAATTAAGCCGACAGCTGACTGTGCCTTGGCGTCAGCGTCATCACAGCCTTGTCTGCTTCAAGACAATAAATTGCAAGAGACGCCATTTACGCAGGTCTTGTTCATTCTACTCCTTTTTCGTCAATTTAACGAAGTTACTTTGTCTAGCCGAGATGGAAAAACCAATTGCTTCGTCCCAAAACAGACGCCGGCAATGCTGGGAATGCCATCGCCGCCGACTAGTCTGCGACTTCTCACTCCCCGGGTGCCGCAAATGCTATACTGCTGGGGTCGAGTGTCCTGGCTACGACGACAAGAAGCCGCTCAAGTGGGTCACAACGGGTGAGGTGACATCTCGGCCGCGGAAGAAGACAGTTCAACAGAGTACTGCCAAGCAGCATGCGTCCGAAGATAGAAGTGACAGCCAAGACGAGGTTTGGAGTTTGAGCGTCCCCCGCGATCGACTGGTCACTGAGTCTGGAGCGATTGTGGAGGCTGCATATTATTGTGAGTTCGCTAGTCGATTTGAATCAGCAACCGTTCTCATAAATAGTCAATACCTGCATTCTACCGGAGTATACTTGCCTGCTCCGGCTAGCTGAAAACGCGTTCATTACTGCCTTTCCCATGGAAAGTCTTCCAGCCATCCCACCCTCGATCCACTGCACTCTTGTCTCTCTAGCGCTGAGCCACCGATTTCACCGACTACTCCCCCGGAACAGCCGTAGCGATTTGCGGGAGATTGAAGCCAAGCATTACCAGCATCGAGGCCAGGCTATTCAGTATCTGAAGGAGGAGATAGGACGTCCAGACAAGTGTCGTACAGACAAAACGCTTGTTGGGGTGATGATGCTGCTATTGAGTGATGTGGGTACCAGTATCTGCTTGCATTGAACTGACGTTGACGAGCATTTTAGTCCAGGCAATCTACTTCTCCCAATTGGCGTCATCACTTCACTGCAGCTCTGGAGATGATCACCCTCCGGGGAGGAGTGGAGAAGGTCCTTCACTCGGCTCCACACCTCAAAGCTTTGTTGCTGTATTTCATGATGTAGATCTCTCCATGGATAGTGGAACATGCGCTGACCAGGTCTAGTATCGGAATCATCAGTAACACGACCAGTCCACCTTCCGACCACATACCCTTGGGCTCGGATGTACGGTCGATCGAGGTGATCTCCCTAATGTACGGGGGAGGCTTCTTCCCTGTTCTCCTCTGTCCACCTGCACTTTTAGCAAATATTATCCAGATCAATCATCTCCGACTGCAGGCCTTCTCGCAACCATCCACCGAGTCCGAAGGAAGAGCTCTGGCCTTGCTAGGCCGGATCACGGCCTTTTCGCCAGAGCAGTGGGCCATGTCTTGCGCCGCCCCCGAAATGGGAATAATTCTTGGCCATGTTTACCGCTCCGCAGTGATACTGTACTGCATATTGTCTCTGCAGAGTCTCTGCGTCCTACCGCGAACGGCACAGCTTAGATCACTGACTGTAACACACGCAAAAGAGCTCTTCGCGTATCTGAAGCAGGCCTGCGGGGCACCTGGGATCGGAAAGTGCATGCTCTGGCCGCTCATTGTGGCCGCAGTGTGCGCTCGGGGCGATCTGGACATGCAACAGTTTGTCCATCGACAGCTCTCCGCTTTGGGAACGGACATCGGGACTCCCTTACCTTTGCTGGCGGCAGTTGTTTTCAGAAATTTCTGGGAGAGTAAGAGCAGAACATGGGATGCCTGTTTTGAGCGACCATACTGTTTTGTTGTATAGGCTGTGAGGCTGTCCGGATATAAGTGGAATTGATCGGCCCATCAGAAGAACGGATCATCATCACTGGTGGTACTCATCTTGGTCTCGTGGCATGTTTATTCGCTTAGGTGAGATGATCTAGGCAGGCAGAGTAGGATTTCAGTCTCCTGCAGACTTGGGGAATAAGGTTGAGGACGGTTGCTCAATGATTGGCCAAGTAAGTCGAGCTAATCTCTAGTTTCTCTTCTATCCATTCTAACGATCTTGTTTTTCTTCATGAAAGGCTTGCGGAGGCTGTGGGAGGTCCGGCTAAGGATTAAGGTGGCTGAGGCTGTGCAGGTTGAATAAGGTTCCCTCGTCATCTATCACTCTTAAAGCTAACCTTGAACCTCCAGGCTACCGCATTAATTACCATGCATTCTCCTGATGTGGCGAAGCTGAGACAATAATATTTTGACGCGGAGACCGTTACCAAGCCAGACCAATCAACCCAGCTCTATTCGACCTAATAAAACCAGGGGCTTGGTCGAGGAAGCAACTCTGGCATGCCAACCTCGCTTCCAGACCCTGATCCTTCCCTTGCGCGGAGAAAGCTCGGAGGATTCGTAAGGATTCGTATCCAGTCCTTGGCGGCTTTGCAAGACTCCGGACTTCTAGTCCTGGATCTGTTTTCGTGTGTTTTTCGGGTTTTTGGCAGATTTGATTTCGACTTCGGAGGAGAGCTTGACCTCCACTATGATTGACTGTCCTGCTCCGGGGACTGGGATGACCTTTCTACTTCTTACTATGAACTATCAGTTTATCAACACGGTGCAGACCGTGATGGCGGCCAGCCAGATAATCGAGATGAACGTGCGATAACAAGAGGAACTGATCGGTCTGGCCCTCTTTACATCAAATGAGGGTGAGGCTAGTGGTCAATACACAACACCTTGGCGAGGCGTCCGTATGACGAAGGATCGTGGCTCTCATCAACGTGGCTATGCTAACGGTGATCAATTACTGAATCAGGGTCTTGATCACCGTGGGATTGGGTCTAGCGAATTATATTTCCTATTTGAATCATCATAGGTGGTATACCGAGAGGTAACTCTTCGGGTGAAACCCGAGGACTTATATAGTCCCTCTTGCTCAAACATTCTGCTTGCCACCGCCGTAATAATTCGGGATCGACCTTCACAATGCATTGGAGTAGACTCCTACATCTGGCACTTGGTATGTATCCCCTACCTGTTCCTCCGAATAAGTGCTGACGTGATAGCGCCCCTTGCCGCCGCCCAAATCTACTCTTTCTCTCCCGCAACCGATATCGTCTATAGCGTGGTAGTACCTGAAAGCACAGCTTCCTCCAACTCCGGGCCAATCTACTTCCAGATCCGCGCACCCACCTCGTATCAATGGGTGGCTCTTGGCCAAGGCTCGCAGATGGCGGGCTCTAACATGTTCATCATGTACGCCGCTTCTGTCAACAATGTCACCCTCTCTCCCCGGTCTGGCAGGGGTCGCTTCCCGCCAGGCTACAACCCCGATGCGCAGATCGAGCTCCTAAACGGTACTGGTATCAGCAACGGGTACATGACCGCCAATGTGCGCTGCAATAACTGCCTTCAATGGACCGGTGGCTCTCTGGATCCGTCCAGCAGCTCAAGTAGCTGGATCTGGGCAGAGAAGCAGGGTACCGCGATTGACTCCAGCGATCCCAGGTACGCTATCACGCGGCATGATTCCCACGGCGTGCACACTATCAGCATGTCACAGGCCCGCGTGGCCAACGTGGATGCATTGAACCCGTTCGCTAGTCAGAACGCGGCCTCAACCCCACAGACAGTAACGGCGGGGACCACAGCCTCCAAGTCGAACTCGATATTAATAGCCCACGCCGTCCTCATGAGCGTCGCCTTTGTCATATTCTTCCCGTCCTTCGCTATCTCAGTCCACATTATCCCCTACTCCAAGACCGTCTCGCGCATCCACGCACCACTGCAACTCTTCACACTGGCTATGGCCCTCGCGGGACTCGGCCTGGGGGTCTACCTCGGCGTTGATACAAACCAAATGGACAAGTACCACCCGATCATCGGCCTGGTCGTTGTCGGCATGCTGGTTCTCTTCCAGCCGCTCATGGGCTTACTCCAACATATGCATTTCCGTCGCAGCGGAGGAAAGAGCCTCTTCGCATACGTGCACCGCTGGCTAGGCCGGATCCTGATCGCCCTTGGCATCATCAATGGCGGGCTAGGGTTCCTGCTTACCAAGAATACGGGCCAGCCTGCGCCGAAGGGCGCGATTATTGCCTACTCGGTTGTTGCAGGTGTGGTCGGCCTGGCGTATATTATTTTCGTGATTGTGCTTCCGTTCACGTCGAAGAAGAGTGCTGCGCCGCAGAAGGTGGCGTCGTCGAATGGGTCCGGTGAGGGAATTGCTGTGCAGGAGAGGAATGGTGCCAGTGATTGATGAGGTATGAGATGTGGATTCCTCTCTATTTGTCTCGACGTTTTGTGTTTGATTGAGCGTTCAGCCAGTTGTATATGGAGGTCTACTGTTCGACTTGTAAAATGAGATAAGTGAATGGTGGAATGTCTATGTGCTTGATGTAATATCAGCGGGTCTGCGGACTATCTAATGTGCTAAGGGCTATACAGATGCCAATGTGCCAATGAATCCACTGAGTCTACCCAAACTACTATTGAAAGTTTCTACCTGCACAATCATGAGGCTCTATCCAACTAAGCCCGGATATCTAACACCTTTCCAAGACGGAGTCACGACAAGGGGCTAGGAATCTGTAATTCTCACTTTTATTGTGTAAAAAGCTACATCCCAAGGATGACGGGGTTCTTCTTGACTATCAGACGGTTATCCAATAGGTTTATAATATCTGTCAAACCCTGTAAATACTCCATCCAGATTACATAGAAAATATGAACCATATTACTGCCTTCGTAACTGTACAATTAAGAATCTACTGACCCAAGGAAGAACGCACCATCTCCTCAACAACAACACCCACAACCCCACTACCAACAACAGCCCACGTCCACGGATTCGCCAGCTCCGACAACGCAGGCCAGAAGCTGTTCTTCTCGCGCCGCCACGCCTGCAGCTGCGCATACTTGTGGGGATCCTGCGTTCTGTACCTCTCCTCCTGGCTCGCCTCATTCTGCGCATCGCCGCCAACAAAACGCAGGAAAACATAGTTTGCAACCGGGCCAAGCAGGACAAGCGGGTTGAATGTGTTTGCCGCGTTGAGGACAACGAATGATAGGTGCACAAGGGTGTCACCAAGGTAGCTGTAGAATGGTCATTAGCTTTGATCTTTGTGTCAGCGGGGGAATACGAATACAATACGTACTTTGGATGACGGACGATGCTCCACACGCCATGGCGGCAGAGATCATCACGCTCCTTGCGGTGCAGCTCCATCTGCGTATCGGCCAGCGCCTCCATCGCGAAGCCCGCGCTGAAGAGGCCGACGCCCAGGGCGCGAAGCATGCCGGAGGTCTCTGCGTCAAACGACACGCTCGACCAGCTCATCCGGAAGGGCAGGGTGAAGGGCAGGGTGATGAGCGTCAGGAACGCCGCTTCGGGGAGATACGACTTGAGGAGCGCCGAGTTCCAGAAGCCGGGGTCCTTGGCCTTGAGCTCCTCGTAGCGCGGGTCATCTCTTCCGCGAGCGAGAGAGCGCGACACGATGCGGTAGAAGAGTCTACTGCCCCAGGCTGTAACGCAGGATAGCAGGACCTTTTCGGTCCAGGGAATGGCGTTCATGGCGCTGGTGAAGGTGATGTTGTTGTGGTACATGGGTTCGCCGACGGCGCTCCACCAGGCGTTGGCGACTTGGCTGAGGGGCCAGAAGTAGTCTTTGATTTCGCCGCGGTCGGTCGCTCTGGAGAGGGCGTAGGCTGCTACTGAGAAGCTGGAGTGGAGCGCGAACGAGGGGAGGATGGTTGATTTGAAGATGCCGACATCGCTGGTGTTGAGTCCGAGATGGGAACGTTCGTATGGCCATCGGTCGACGTCGACCAACGGCTTTGCGCCGGCCTCCATTTTGACTATCTGTGCGATTCAAGCGCTATGTCAATTGAGCAGATTCCATCTTGTCGTTGATGGTGGTGTGCTGCGGGTTTTGTAGGTAGGTACAGTGTTGATGTCAGGATTATGTAACGGTTCGTTGCGGCCATCTGCCAACCAAGTTATTGCCTACTTGATGATATCATCGTTATACATAACTTATGGAGAATTATACTCTTTAATAGAAATGCACTGCTTCTTTATTTAGAAACAGGACTTGTGTTGTCGATTTGAGGTTAATTGAGTAGAATCTATATCTATACATGTCATAAGTATACCACGCTGCTATCAGGAGCACAGATCTAAAGATTTCATGCAGATGCAGATGAGCTACCCATGTTAAAATGACCCAGACGCTGATGTAGATCGGAGAGGTTTATCTGAACGGCAGGGATGTCTGAACCTTGTGTAGTTCGAAATTGTTGCTTGATTAACGAGGACAATTGACCCTCCCATAAGCTTAGGAATTGCAGATCCCCGGCGGTGAACCCCGCAAATGGATCTTCCTCTCGCATATATAAATCATGTTCATATAAGTCGTGAAATTGCTTAAAGATCAGAGGGATGTCTGCAGGCTGCACCAGGCATAAATCATGCAATTCGCACCCCTCGGGTATCTTCTCGAACGGCAACTTGTTGGTTTGAATTCGTCGGATTTTGGCCGGATCTGAAGCAAGCCTCCTTTGATCATGCGAGCTTTTACTGTGCATGAGATAAGACCTCGGATCATGTGGGTTTAGACGAGGGCTCAGGTTGTTAGTTTCAGACAACGATTGCTCCGACTCGGCATTGCTGTTATTGACGTCAGGCTGCAAAGCGGCTTTGGCAGCGAGATATCTGCTCACATGGGGTGAATTCGCGGCGGATGCATTCTTCCTCTGCTCGCGGAGACTTGCGATCGCTTCTCTCTTGCGCTTCTCAAAGTCAAGTGCCCTTTCCAATTCGGGGTTATGGCCAGCATTCGCCAGTCTGT